GGTTCAAGCGATTCTCCTGCCTCAGCCTCCTGAGTAGCTGGGACTACAAGTGCATGCCACCAGGCCCAGCTAATTTTTTGTATTTTTGGTAGAGGCAGGGTTTCACCGTGTTAGCCAGGATGGTCTCAATCTCCTGACCTCATGATCTGCCCGCCTCAGCCTCCCAAAGTACTGGGATTACAGGCATGAGCCACCGTGCCCAGCCTCTTTTCATTTTAAAAAGCAGTTTAAATAGTCTTCAAGTATAAGTTTTAAAGGACAGCCAAAGACAGTCCACTCTGATTCTAGAAGTTGTGTCCTGGGGTCTGAGACAGTTTCTGTTGTCTCTGACTCTCACTGAACCGAAAGGGCAGGGTTGGTGTGAGCTGTTGCAGCTAAACATTCACATTAACCTGGAACACTGGGTCCTCAGAGCCAGAGGCTGATGAGGGATCCATCTAAGCTGCCATCCAACTCAGAGAGGGCTTTGAGCATCAGTCCTGCGGTGGCAAGTTTCCATCTGGTGTTTTGTTTAATTTATTCTTCATGGTGAAGTGGGCTAACAGAAGATGTGCTGCCAGGCTGGAGTGTGGGAGGTGGTGGGAACTCCTGGCTGCAGAAGGTGGGACAACGTTTCTGAGTCCTCAGTGTGTGTATGGGGAGGGGCAAGGAGAGACCTTGCTTTCTCTGGGATCAGCCATGATCTGCCTTCAAATCTTCGCTCCCTATTTTCACTGTTGCTTCTAGTAGACAGGGGTCTCAACATAGGAAGTTTCTGGGGTTTTTTTTTTTTTTTTTTGCGATGGAGTCTTGCTCTGTCACCTGGGCTGAAGTGCAGTGGCGTGATCTCAGCTCACTGCAACCTCCACCTCCCGGGTTCAAGCAATTCTTCTGCCTCAGCCTCCCAAGTAGCTGGAATTACAGGAGCCCACCACCATACCCGGCTAATTTTTGTATTTTTAGGAAAGACGGGGTTTCACCATGTTGGCCAGGCTGGTTTTGAACTCCGGACCTCAGGTGATCAGCCTGCCTCGGCCTCCCAAAGTGCTGGGATTACAGGTGTGAGCCACCATGCCTGGCCTCACATAGGAATTTTCTTTCACTTAGTTTGCAGGCCAGTGCTCTGCATGAGGCCTGCCATGTTCTGTGGTTTGCAGGGAGGTAAGATGGGGGAGGGAAAGTGTACCAGACAATTGAGCCATGCAGCTCTGTGCTCATCACTCACTAGCTGTGTGCCCATGAGGAAGCAGCTAAAACTTGCTGAGCCTCAGTTTGCTCATCTGTAACACAGAGACGCTGTCACCCACTGCTTTAAGCGAGGCAGAAGATCCAACACTTGGCCTGGGGTGAGGCCCTTGCTCCATTAAACTCTGAGTGCCTACCCCCAGGGCAGACCCAGGGTACCAGAGATGACCCAGTGACTTGTGTCCCTCCAGCTGCGGAGCCGAGATGGCTCGGAGTACCTGATTCAGCATGACTCGGAGGCTATCATCAGCACCTGGCATAAGGCCATTGCTCAGGGCATCCAGGAGCTGGTAAGCAGAGCCCAGAGCCTCTAGGGGTGGTGGGGAGGTGGTGGCCATTATGAGTGGGGCCTTCTGCTCAGGCTCAGGGAGCTCTAAGGTATCAGTGGGAAATGTAAATGCAGTCCCCCACTAATGGCTGGGATGGCAGGGTAGGCTGCTGAAGAAACTGCCTTCTGTAAGTCTGTGAATCCAGCCCTGGGGTTGGCGCTGCAGGAAGACTCTCCAGGTGACGGTAGGGGCACATTCTAAAGGAATTTCCCACTTCACGGAGAAGCAGAAGGCCAAGTAAATACTCTGCAAGCCAACCAACGGCAGGCTGAAACTAGCAGATAAAATTTTAAAGGATTGATTTGAATAGTCGACCATTTTTTTTAAGGCTCAAAATACCAATTGCATAAGTAGAGCTAGGACAGGGGCTCTCTGACAACTACTGACCTGGAAATGACCTGGGGCTTTTTGACCCTTAATTCCCTATGAGCCAACATTGAGTGCAGCTTTTGGCTGTATTAATAGAGGTTGGAATCCAGAGCCAGAGAGGTGATATTGGTACAGTTGTTGGCAGTGCTCCGGCCACAGCTGGAGATGCAGGCTCAGAACTGGGAGCCACGTATTGAAGAATGCTGACCTAGTTAGAGAAACTGAGGAAAACAGAGGAAGAAGGCTCCAGGTGGGTAGGGGTTGCCAGGATAGGAAGGGGTGTGGGAGAACAGGATGACTGTCTCTGCACCTTAAGGGCTCCATGCAGCTAAGGGAGGTGAATGTTCTCAGGCTCACTGGTGGAGGTAAGGAGAGTTAACCTGGTTAAGGGAAGAGAGGACTCTTCGCTGAGGGTCTCCAGGCCATGCCTGTTGGGAGTGCATTTCGGGTCCCTTGCCCCATCCTGGAAGGACCCGAAGCTGGCTCAAGGCCCCACCTTTCTGAGGCTATGGGAATCCAGTCCGCAGAGCTGCCCCCAGAGGAGGAGAGCGAGAGCAGCGGAGTGGACTTCGGGGCGAGTGAGCGCCTGGGAAGCTGGCAGGAGAAAGAGGAGGACGCGCGGCCGAATGCAGGTGTGCGCAAGGCAGGATGGTCTGGGGGCTCCCAGGAGACCTCTCCTGGGGAATGATGATTGCTGGGGCCTGCCTGGCCTGCCCCAGCACTGCTTCCTGACTCAGTTCTGCCTTCCCCCGCAGCAGCCGCGCCCGCCCTGGGCCCCGGGGTCCTGGAGAGCGACTTGAGCAAGGTCCGGTACAAGCTCCGCAAGTTCCTCCAGAGGCGGCCCACACTGCAGTCGCTGCGGGAGAAGGGCTACATCAAAGGTACCCGAGGCCTGCGGGGGGCAGGGACCCGGGGACCAGGACGGGGCGCAGGCTGGACGGGAACTGACGAGCCTCTCCCTTAGACCAGGTGTTCGGCTGCGCGCTGGCCGCGCTGTGTGAGCGCGAGAGGAGCCGGGTGCCACGCTTTGTGCAGCAGTGCATCCGCGCCGTCGAGGCCCGCGGTACGTGTGCTGTGGGGGTGAGGGAGGCAGGCATTGGGGTGCCCGCAGGTCTCCTGCCAGGACCACAGGCTGAAGACCCCTGGATGGAAGCAGGGTCCAGGGGGAAAGTACGGGAGGCCTCGACTGGGAATCATAGCAGGGACCCGTAGCCCCACCCTACCCCCAGCCCCAAACCCGGGATCAGCGCCTCCCTCTGCCCCAGGGCTGGACATCGACGGGCTGTACCGCATCAGTGGAAACCTGGCCACCATCCAGAAGCTGCGCTATAAGGTGGACCATGGTGAGGCCCGTCCCCACCCCCTGCCCCAGAGCCTGAAGGCGCGAGGGGTACTGACCTCCCTTCCATCCTTCTCCCTTCCTCTGGCACAGATGAGCGCCTTGACCTGGACGACGGGCGCTGGGAGGACGTTCACGTTATCACCGGCGCCCTGAAGCTCTTCTTTCGGGAGCTGCCCGAGCCCCTCTTCCCCTTCTCGCACTTCCGCCAGTTCATTGCGGCCATCAGTGAGCACCTGGGGCAGGTGGGGCGGATGGGGTAAGGGGCGTGGCGGGCCACCCCTTTAGCAGGCTCCCCTCGCCCAGCCGACACCCCCTACCTCCAGTTCCGACTCCCTCCCTCTAAACCTTCCTTCACCCAGAGTTGCAGGACCAGGCCCAGCGCAGCCGCTGTGTGCGCGACCTAGTGCGCTCGCTGCCGGCCCCCAACCATGACACTCTGCGGATGCTCTTCCAGCACCTCTGCCGGTGAGCCGGAAGTGCCGCGCGGGAAGGGGGAGGCAGGTCCCGGCTGGAGCCCCCCGCGCCTCCCTGCAGTTCGGAGCCCTGATCCCACCCACCCCTGCCGCAGGGTGATCGAGCACGGCGAGCAGAACCGCATGTCGGTGCAGAGCGTGGCAATTGTGTTCGGACCCACGCTGCTGCGGCCAGAGGTGGAAGAGACCAGCATGCCCATGACCATGGTGTTCCAGAACCAGGTGGTGGAGCTCATCCTGCAGCAGTGCGCGGACATCTTCCCGCCGCACTGACTGCGGGCCTGCGACTGGGGCGGCGGCCGAGGGCCTGCCACACAAGCTGGGCGGCCTTCTCTCTGGGACCTTCCGCCAGCGCACAGCCGCAGGCAGGTGTGACTTCTGCACCCTCGGTTCTGAGGGTACGGTGACCCCTAGTGGGCAGTTTGCAAAATGTGATTCCTTCCTCCAACTCCCTATCACCCCCGCCACCCCTCTCCCCTCCCCCCTCCCCTCCCACCCGTCACGTCCTATTTGGGGGTTAATTAGGTTTTTTCTCTATTCCATCGCTCCTACTGTGCGTGCGCGATAGTGTATGTGGGGGTGACAGTTGGAATTTCTGGAATGGTGGATGCTGGGGGGAGGAGTTTGATGGGGGGCTTCCTGGCTGCTTCTGGCCCTCACCTCGTGGAGGCCTTCACAGAGACCCTGTGGACCCTGTGCCGGCACTGTCCAGTCATGAAGCAGCTGTAACCACTTCCGTACTGTGGAAACAGGACTGACCCAGTGTGGGCGGCTGAAGCTGTCCTCAGGCCTCAGGGATGACCTCCTGCCTGAGCCTCTCGCACGGCTGGCTGTGCGCCAGTTTCATCTGCTTTCCTGTTGGGGGTCCCGGGCCTCTGCTGTCCCCGACCCACTGATATTCTGTGCCAGGCTTCTTCCTATTCACCAAGTGCGCACCTCACATCTGCCACTGGGCATGCACCAGTTCCACACACAATCCCATTTTACAGACGAGGATGCTGAGGCCTGCAGCGGCAATGTGACTTGCTCAAGGTCCAGTGAGTGACCTCACTCCCCAGAAAAGGCACCTCCCACACCAGAGCACAGCCTGGGTAGGGGGGAAATCAGTCCTTTCAGCTACCACCCTCCAACCTTTGGGCCTATGCGAAAGGAAAGGAACTAACCTGGGTGTGTTCTGTCTGGACCTGGGGAGGCCCCTGAAGGCAAAGAGGGAACCTGCCCCAGCTGTTCTGTCCTAGAGGAGGGGGACATAGCCCTAGCAGGAGCTTGCAGCCCCTTTTGGCACTCTGACACACAAGTATGCCCATCTGGGGCCCGCTTTGCCATGAAGAGCTGGGCAGGCCTGTAGGGTGTGGGGAAGGAGGACACAACCTCAAGAAAGGAAACATGAATCCCAGGGAACAGCGGGTCCCTTCCCTCCTCAGACACAAGCCACCTCAGCTTGTGGCTCTTGGCCCCCAGCCCCTCCCACCCACCTGTTCATTTATTCAACAGACAATGACAGCTCATATTTATTGGACATTAGCACCATGCCAAGCATTTGGCTTGGATTATCCCATTTGTTTCTCACAGCCGGTATTTATTGTCCGCTCTTCTGTGCCAGGTGCTGTGCTCTGGGCACGGGCACTGCACGGGCCCTGGTGGAGCTTGTGGTCTGACAGGTGAGGCTGACCCAAGCCCACCTCACTGTCAGCAGGGCCAGGGCGAGAGTACACACGGGGGCGTCACACCATATGTCTAAATATTTAAAAGTTATCAATCAAGCTAACAACTGTTAAATAAAATATGTTCTATTCTCCTACTTTGACAAATGTGTCTTGATAATGACCTGGGAGGCCAGGTTCTAATTTAAACATCTTTGACTTTTCCAAGTTCCATGCCCAAATGTGGTGGTAGGAGAAGGCCAGGCCCTGGGCTCAGCCTTCCCTCTCATCTTCCCACCCACAGAGCCCTCCTCCCCCAAGCAGAGGCTCACGGGCACATACGTGGACATTGTAGTCTGTGTGTGCAAACTGTCCATAACCCCTGCAGCCAGCTGCCACTTGGCTACCCCACTGGTGACTTAGTCCACCCTTGAGGGAGTGGGCTTGGAGCTATTTAGGGAGGGCATGCTGGGGCCCCATGTATCAGAAGCATGTTCTAAAGGGAGGGTCCAGGAATCAAGAGGGCCCCCCAGATTCCTCATCCTGTGGGGAGGGCCACAGGCACAGGAGCCTTCTGCAGAGGACCCATGGCAGGGACCCCTCTCATTTGAGTCCAAGGGTGAAACTAGACAGACAGTAAGTAGCTAATCACTTGGTTACCACATTTGTACAAGAGCTAGCAGAAGTGTAGGGTGCTCGGAAGGAGTGTCATGGGGTGTGAATGTTGCCCAGGGACCCAGGCGGTTTGGGGTCAGGCAGAGGGAGGTCCCTGTGGGCCTGGGGTTCCCCATCAGAGGGCAGATCTGGGCTCAGGCCACTTTTTGGCTAATATGAATAATGCTGCCATGAACACTCACGTACAAGTTTTTCTGTGGACATATCATTTCAGTCAGCTAGGGCTACCATAACAAAATACCATAGACTGGGTGGCTAAAACAACAGAGATTTATTTCTCACAATTTTGGAGGCTGGAAGTTCGAGTAAGGTGCCAGTACAGTCAGGTTCTGATGAGGGCTCTCTTCCTGGCTTGCAGACAGCCGCCTTCTCACTGTGTCCTCATATGGCACAAAGAGAGTAAGCTCCAGTCACTTCCATTTATTACAAGGACTCTAATCTCAACTTTATGGTCTCACATGAACCTAATCACCTCCCAAAGGCCCCGTCGATACCATCACATTGAGGGTTAGGGTTTCAACACATTAATGGGGTGGGAGGCACAAACACTCAGTCTATAACTCATGTTTTAATTCTCCTGTGGAATTTCCAGGAGTTTGCTGGATTAAATTGCGGGATTAAAAGGTAACTCTACCTTTAACCTTTTGAGGAACCATCAATTTGTTTTCTATAAGGCCGGGCGCGGTGGCTCACGCCTGTAATCCCAGCACTTTGGGAGGCCGAGGCGGGCGGATCACAAGGTCAGATCGAGACCATGGTGAAACCCCGTCTCTACTAAAAATAGAAAAAAAAAATTAGCCGGGCGCAGTGGCGGGCGCCTGTAGTCCCAGCTACTCGGGAGGCTGAGGCAGGAGAATGGTGTGAACCCGGGAGGCGGAGCTTGCAGTGAGCTGAGATTGCGCCACTGCACTCCAGCCTGGGTGACAGAGCGAGACTCCGTCTCAAAAAAAAAAAAAAAAAAAAAAAATTGTTTTCTATAGCTGCACAATCTCCCATCAGTTGTGTTTGAGGGTTTCTGCTCCCTCTCGCCTTCTGCAACAATTGCTTCGGATCTTCATTCCCTTCAACTCCTGGCCCTCTTAGCCTTCGCTCTCTTATCAGGTGACCTACCTCCACCTCACGGAATAGTGGACACACTTAACATCCCACCACAAAGCTCAGCCCTCCCTCACCACGGCCTCCCTGGCCTCCTTTCCTCGGTACCTCAGAGCAGACATTTCTCCAGGGTACAGCTCACCTGTTTTTTCAGAAAATATCCACAATCGCTGGCCCCTCTTCTTGCTATTTAGCTGCTGTCTCAGGTTGAATGTCCCAGGAAACAGAGACATTGGCAGGGGGCTTGCTGGGTCTGATCTCGTGACCAATGCCTGAGGGGCAGAGCCAGCAGGAGCCGCTGAGGGAGAAGCTGGGCTGGGGCACAGGCCCATTTAAGGCCTCAGCCATCCTATGGGAAGCTGTGGAGCTGGGACAGCCTCAGCCTTGTGCCCCATTGTGGCCAGGGGGCTGGGCCACTGGATGTGGGCTGCCTTGTAAGGTGGGAGAAGGGAGGGCATGGATTTGGGCAGAGCAGTTGTCTTCAGCCCAGGACACATCCTGGAGAGAGGCTCAGATGAGCACTATTGGCCACTGACCCTCCCTGTCCTTTGGGAAATCCTTGCTCAGTCCTGGAGGAGGGCATCTGAGAGGCACCATGGTATCCACTACGTCGACTGGCCGCTTCCCCTCGCCACGGGAACGTGCTAAAGTGCCTCTCTCTGAAACGCCCCCCAACCCCACATCTCTCTGCAGCTGTCACCATCCTCCTCCTCCTCCCCTTTGCAGCCAAACTTCTCAGAAGTCGTCTACACTCACGGTATCAATCCGCTTCTCTTGTTCGCTCCTCAGCCCCACTCCCCACACATCAGAGCACTTTTTTTCCCCTAAACTCACTGATTTCCCATTGATAGCTGCTGGATATTTGGGGGTCTGTGTATTAATTGCCTTTTTGGGGGCACCCCTATCCCTGATGACCACCCCATCCCTGGAAATGTTCCCTTTCTCTTGGCTTGCACATTCCCCCTCGTTTTCCTCCCACCTCTGGCCATGCATCTCATTCTCTGCTGCACAGCCAGCACAGGCAGAGTCCTTGGGGCCCACCCCTCCCTGGATGAAACTGTCTACACCCATGGCATCAGCGACTCACTGATCCATAGTATCAGGTCTGACTGCTCTCTAAGCTCCCAATCCTGGTGTCCTCTGACAACCTGACATCTGCTCTGGGACAGTCCCCAGCCCAAGACTGGATTTGTGATTTTCCCCAAACCTTGTACTCCTCCAGGATTTTACCTGTCCCAGGCAAAGGCTCCATCATGCCCTGAGTCAGGTGAGCCAGAAACCTGGGAATGTGGCCTACTCCCTCCATCTCATCTCTCTCTCCCACCTCCATACCCGATCTGTGTCTTGTCAGTCCTTCCTCTCTTATCCACCGCTTTCCATCACTAGGGCCCCTTCCTGGTCTAAGGGGCTAATATCTCCCGCCTGGACCCGGCAGCTCCCAGCCCCCTTCCCCATCCCATGTCCTCATTGCCCCCACCGCATCCAGCCTTATTTCAAAACACATGCCTGATTATATTATCACCCTGCATGAAAACCTTTCCACTCACCTAAGGAAAAGACGAAGCTTCAGCATGGCCTGCCTGGGGCTTGAACCTGCCCACCCCTCAGCCTTCTCTCGTGAACCAGTGTGAGACAGTGGCTCAGCGCATGGGCTCTCGAGTCAGGCTGCCTGGATTCAAATGTGAGCTCCACATTGCCCCTGCCAGATGGTTTTGGATTATTGACTCATTCCTTTGTGCCCGTTTTTTCATCTGGAGAATGGGGATGCAATAGCAGCACCAACCTCACAGGTGGTTGTGAAGATGCCACGAGATGATACAAGGCTCTGAGAACACAGTCTGGCTGCAGTAAACACTTGCTGGGTCCTGTGCCTTACATGCTGTTCGGTTTACAGACTGCAGCTACACTGGTTTCCCATCAATTTCACAAATGTTTCACACTCCCCTCTGCCCCAGGACCTTTGCATGTGCTATGCTCTCTTTGTAGTTCTCTTCTCCCTTTGCTTAGTTATCTTTTAGCGCTGTGCTCAGGTAACTTCCTCAGGCAGCTCTTTCCAATGCCTGGCTAGGTCAGCGTTCTTTGTTACACACCATCAAAGACCCATATGTGCCGGGCATGGTGGCTCCCACCTGTAAGCACTTTGGGAGGCCGAGGCAGGCGGATCACAAGGTCAGGAGATCAAGACCACGGTGAAACCCCATCTCTACTAAAAATACAAAAAATTAGCCGGGCACAGTGGTGGGTACCTGTAGTCTCAGCTACTCAGGAGGCTGAGGCAGGAGAATGGCGTGAACCCAGGAGGCAGAGGTTGCAGTGAGCTGAGATTGTGCCACTGCACTGCAGCCTGGGCGACAGAGCGAGACTCCGTCTCAAAAAAAAAAAAAAAAAAAGAAAAGAAAAAAAAAGACCCATATGCTTCGCTTCTCTAAATTTGTCATTTTGCACTCATATATCATGATTATTTATTGCTGTCTGAACCTGCTCGCCATGATACTATAAGCCCAGGACGGTGGGGACTCTGTCGTTGCTCACCATCGCATGCACAGTGCCTGGCACTTAAAAGGTGTTTAAGAGGCTGGGCGCGGTGGCTCACGCCTGTAATCCCAGCACTTTGGGAGGCAGAGGAAGGCGGATCATGAGGTCAGGAGATCAAGACCATCCTGGCTAACACAGTGAAACCCTGTCTCTAGTAAAAATACAAAAAATTAGCCAGGTGTGGTGGCGGGCGCTTGTAGTCCCAGCTACTCAGGAGGCTGAGGCAGGAGAATGGTGTGAACCCGGGAGGCAGAGCTTGCAGTGAGCTGAGATCACGCCACTGCACTCCAGCCTGGGTGGCAGAGCAAGACTCCATAAAAAAAAAAAGGTGTTTAAGAGACACCCATTAACAAGCTGATACGTGAAAAGGAAGACAGCTGGAGTTCAGTCCCCAGCTCTGCCATTTCCTATCAAGTGATCTTGGGCAAGGGGTCCACTTCAGTGTGCTCATCTGTAAAGTCAGGACATTCACGCCTACCTCAGACACTTCTCACCATTATAAAATGACATGTGCAACACGCATGGCCCAGCACCTGGTGGTGGAACATTTGCACCTGGAGCACTTGCAAAGTCTTGGTAGTCTTTGCTTCTCAGGCCCAAGGACAGTCCTGTGTCCTGGGGTGAGACAGCCTCTGCGGTGGGACCAGACGTGGAAGGGCTGTAGAGGACCCCTGGGGTGCTGCCAGCCGCCTGGTGGACAGTAGGGCACACTGAGCCAGTGACTCTTTGGTTTCCAGGGCACTGGAGCTGTCCTTTTTCAAGTTTTCAGTCCAGCAGTGTTGTAGGGAAAGGTACTTTTGTCTGGTTTGGGCAAGAGCATCAGGAGCAGGAGACTGTCCCCTCAGGCCAGTACAGGAGG